CCTTAGCTTCTAGATCCTCATTTATGTTTGCCCAGCACTGTGATATGCACCCTGCACAAGGGAACATAATACTCAGCAACAGATTCAATGGGACCCCATGTGTGTTTTTGCTGACTTTGTCTGCATCGCTCCAGCCTGTCTGGCACTTTTCCTAGCAAACCCCATCTGTCTGAGACTCCCTGAACGCTCTCCCGTGTCCCTTGGCTCGGGGTTTTCCCTGCGTGTCAGGGTTTTCTCTTGCTGCACTGCTGCCCTGCACCGTGCATCTATCTAGGCAGAGGTTGGTGTGCCTCGGTCTCCCCTTTCTCAGGGGTCCCCCTTTTGCTGTCTTTTGCTGGATTTCCAGAAGCACTTGCTTCCGGAAGTGCATTTCCAGTGGGCAGGCTAATCTAATCCCGGCTGCCCATCTTTGCCGGAAACAGGTGTAGTTCTCCTGAGGACCCTGAGCGTTTCCTCCTAGACATGGAGGTGGTCTTTGGTCCTGAGGGAGAAGCAGGTTTGCAAGAGGAAGGGAGACACAAAGGTCATTTACTGTATGTGGGCTCAGCTTGAGATTAGACCAAGAGCCCCGGGAAGGAAAGGGTGTGATAGCTGCCCAATATGGTGCATTTGTGGCACCCGCTCTTTCCTGAGCCTCTTTCACACATCAGAAATGCAGGTCTACTCCAAGTATTCCACGTGGGGAACCGCACTCCCCACATCTCTCACACCCGGTGGCTTTCTTTCCCGTCTGAACATGCGTGGCCCGTGAAGCATCCCCTTAATCCCTTGCATCTGCACAGAGAGGCCCACTGAGGACTTCCAAGAGCCAGGTGCTCAGCTAAGGGGTTTGCATTCACTCCTCGTTTTGTCTTTCCCATGACCTGCTGGCAAGGGCGCCGCTTGGAGAGCTGAAGGACTCCGCCTGCAGTCTCACAGCTAGGAAGAGGCAACTCGGGATTTGAACCTGTGCCCTCCTCATTTCATGCCTTCATTCCTGACCTCAGCCTGCACTTCCCCTTCCATCACGTACTACGTTGGTACTGGAGTTACTTCTGTCTTCTCAGGGTTTAAAGAGATTGAGATAGGAGCCTCATACTTACACAGAGCCTCGGCCAGGGGCAGAAAGGGCAAGAAATAGTGTCCTCTTCATCCTCACTTGAAAAAGAAATAGCCTGAAGCCCTTGGGACTGATTTACAATCAAAACTCTTCTTTATTGACTGGGCCGCCGTAGCACATGCCTATAATCCCAGCGCTTGGGGAGGTTGGGGCAGGAGGATGGCAAGTTTGAAGCCTACCATGGGCAGCTTAGTGAGCCTTTGTCTCAAAAATAAGAATATTTTTTAAGAAGGGTAATGTGGCTCAGTGCATGGCCTGGGTTTAGTTTCCCAGTTCCACAAATAAAGGAGAACAAAACAAAATCAAATAACCAAAAACCAACAAAAGTCTCCCTTATCAAAAGGATTAACTTTCCATGTAACTTTTTCTCAAAATCATAGCTGCTGGAGTCCGCTGATAAACAAATGGCAACCAGGAAAAAATTGCTTTTATTCTGTTGTGAACGTCATACCTAGTAACTCGGGCTTGGGGATAATGTGTTCTGTGATATTTATTCCTTTAAGTCCTGCCTATAAATTACCATCTCTTACGAGATTGAGTTTTATATTTTCCATAACAGTTGTTTATTTGCAAATGTCAGGAATGCTGGACAATTAGTAACCATGAGATAAACTTTATTGAAGTCAGATATATCGGTTCAAATAATGATAGACGTAGCACAAGACCTTGTGATCAGGAACCTGAAATTTTCTTTTTATTTGCCAATCAAATACTGTTCAAAGACACAGAGTCCGGTTTTGATGAAGCCTGTCGACAACCAGGGTAGTAAAGCCGCAGAACAGGAACTGGCTGGCAGGGACCCCAGCATCCAGGGCGGAAGGCAGAGCTTCTGGTGCTCCTGAGGATTTTGCATTAGATGAAGACAAGGCTGCCCTTTGGGTGGCAGTCACCACAATCCGTCAGTCCCTGCGTCCTTGTTCTGGGAGGCAGGAAAAGCCACGTGTGTAACCCTCTGTAGAATGGCATGGGTCAGGCAGGAGGCTAAGTGAAAGGTGAGAAGCCTGCCTGCTGCAAGCTGCTTCTTCAGAATCTTTAATTATTCAGTTAAAAAATGCCTGCAGCCCTTGGGCAGCTGAGGAGGAGGAAGGATGTGGGGAGTGCCTCGGTTTCAGGCTCTAAAGCACTTTTGTTAGTACACGTTTGCTGCACACAGTGCTTGTGTTCCTTGCGGGGAGCTGGTGCACATGAGAGCCCGCATGTTTACCCTCCCTGTGTGGAGCTGGTTGCTGGGCATAGCACACCTTAATTCCTCCCTCATCCGCTTTGCTCATAGCAGCCCGATTTGTAATAGCTGAATCTTAGAAGTAGCTCATGTCATCCACAGGTAAAGAAACTGTGGAGTTTAGGCAGGGTGGAGGCTTCCCTGCCTCAGGAAAGGCGCCTTGGGTCATTTTAGGCAAATGGGTATATCTTGAGCCCATATCGCTGAGTGAAATAAATCAGGCACACAAGCTTAAATAGCAAAGTATAAATAAAGAACAAAATAAAAGATAAATAATAGGGGCAATCTCCTGTCTTTTAGGAGCTATTCCAATTCCCCAATAAATTTTCTTCCTCTTAAAAAAAAGGTAGATAGGTACTAGGAAGCAGGGAAATAAATCTTTCCCCAGTAGAAGGGATGGAGAGGTGGAGGGAGGGAAGAGTCGGGGATGAAAAAGGGAATTAAGATGTGTTACGTGTATGTGCCCATTGCGAAACTTGGAACTCAGAAAGGCATGGCAAGAATGGACAGCTGTTCAAGGCAGTTGGGACTCTTTTGTTTTGTGCTGTGTTTTGTGGGGCCCAAACTCGGGGCCTCACTGTGTGAGCATCTCCCACTGAGCTACCCGCACTCCAGCCACTCCTCTTTCTGTGTGACCACTGCTCTGTGCTTCGGAGAGCCCTTTTCATTGACCAAGATCAGCAGCCTCTTCAGATTCAGGCACTAGAAATATTCCTGCATTACGGACATAAGAGGACTTCAGAGGGAGCAGCCCTTTATTGATACTACAGAGAGGTCTGTAGCAGGACCGTCCTGGCTTCAAAGGGACAGCCCAAAGAGAGAAGGGAGGAAGAGAGAAATGTGGATGTTTCTATTCTTTAAGGAGACAGACAGACTGACAAGCTCAGAAGTAGGATGGAATTATGCTCTCACACGCTTTTGAGATGCAAGAAGCTTTGGATAAATACCCCCTGAAGTCATTTTCTTGCTGGCATAGTGGGTTAAGTAGCAACATTAAGCCCTGAACTAGCTTCAGGCAGTAATGTGAGAGCTGGAAAGGATGTTGTTTTGAGCTTTTGAGGTCGCCCTGTCTCCTAGGACCCTGTTTCTTTATTAAACATTGGTCTCAGCTGGCAGGAGCCATGGGGAGCACACATCTTTATTTTCCTTGTCTGTGTAATGAGCTTTAAAAAAAAAAAAATTATTAAGTCCGCTGCTGCCCAGGAGGACATAAAGGGCCATGGAGAAGTTTCCAGATCTCTGGATGTGGGCTTGAAAGACAATGTTAGGGGCACTCTACACTAAGCTAAAATTTTTCAGCAAGTTAATTCGCACTAAATATTGGATTAACTTTTCATTCTGTAAAAAAAGTTTCTGTGCCCCTTACCACCTGGCTAAGGGGTTTGACAAGGGTGATCCCATAGAGTATGAGGTCCTGTTTCTCGTGTTTTCGTGTTTGTTGTTTCTGAGACAGGGGTCTCAGTGTGTCATTCAGGCTGGCCTTATAACTAACTGCTCAAGGCAAACCCATGTTGACCCTCCTGCTTCAGCATCCCAAGGGCTGGGATTATCCCGGGCACCATACACAGCGTTTTTGTTGAGTTTTTAAGAACTTTAACTTTTCCTGAGTTTTTAACACACTACATTTTTCCCTGGATATGAGTCTATTGAAAAAAGTCATATTCATTCACTAATCCAATTGGAGTAAACTTGACCAGTGGAGCATTTCCAGTCTGAAAGTCTAAGATCAGAAGTGGAGATGTGAGTGGTGCTTTAAAAACTTTCAAATTTTTGAGTATTTCAGATTTTTGGTTTTCAGTAAAACTTACTGCATCAGTATTTGTCCTAAGGCGACTGTCTGTGGTTCACTGTCCTGAATTTTGTTGGAAATTGTGCACTTGCCCATTCTTTCACTTATTTATTTCATGTGAATATACCCAAGGCCAGTTCCTGGGGCTGGAAATGTGGAAAGCAGCATGACAAACAAGGTCACTGCCTGGGGCAACAACCAAGGTGTACCTCTGGGAAGTCCAGGAGGACAAAGAGAGCACAAGCGAAAAGATGTGTGCGGTCTGTGCGCTGGGAATCCAGTCCAGGGCCTCAAGCACGCCAGGCCTGGTGATCACCCACTGAGCCACACCCTGGCCCTCCTGATAGGATTTTGGGGAGGAAATGCATAGCTCGTTTATCAACTGCAAATGTCTGATAATTGTGAACCGCAGTTGGGAAGTGAAACACGTGATGCGACGGGAACACGATGTGACCTTGGTGGGGAGCTGGGCATCAGACCCTGAGCCTCCTGTGTGCCAAATGCAAGATCCTCCTCCGATCTGACTTTTGCACAGAGCATGGGGTCCTTTGCACGCTTCTCTGCAGTTCTTCCAGAAGCTCTCTGTAAGGTGCATATTGTGAGTTCTGTTGATTCAGATGAAAAAACGGGGGAGCCCAGAGGGAAAGTGTGAATCCGTAAGTCCCCAAAATCAGTGACATGGCAAACTGTGCCTTGTGTCTCACTTGTGTATATGAGCACTTATGAATCCTCTCCTGTCTACAGCTCACGCTGAAGGTCAGAAATAGGAACACAGACTAAAGCACAGCAGAACCAACATTTGCATTCAAAGCCCTTTCAGGAAAGCTCCCTCTGTACTTACTGCAGGAAAGTAGGCAGGGAAACGGTTGCTGCTGAGAACTGGCTTCGTGCATGCTGCACGGCTTTCCTAGGTCCCAGCCTCTTCCCCGCTGATAGGCTCTGAGGTCTTCCTTCCGAAAGGCATGGAAGTTGGAGCCCAGAGACACAAACAGGAAGCATTTGCCTGCAGGCACCACCTCCTTAAATATCCTTGTGCAGCGGGAATTCCTTCTGTCGCCCTTTGTCTGTGGCCCTACGGGGCAGGCGGAGGTGACCGGGGCTATCCTGGAGGAGGCTGGGGCCTCAGGGAGGTGGGTGCTGGAGATGGGCTTCCTGCCACCAGGCCAGGACGTGACACCTTGGCACAAATGTCCCATGCTGCTCCCTTAGGAATATCCTGCTGGGCCCTTTTCACCTGCTGCAAGGTAAGACTCTGAGCTCTTCCTCAGTCAGCGACTTCTTTCTGCAGACTGGTTCTTTTATTTAAAAGAAGAAGAAAGGGTGCAAAGGGTTTTTGCACCCTTTTTAAACACGCTATTTGGAGCTCTGCCCTGGGGTCGTCGGCCTGCGTGTGTCCTGTGTCTGTGTCCTGGATCCTTCCTGCCTGCAGCCTGCTCCCCCTCCTGCGTCTTCAGCCGGATGCTGAGTCCCCTGGAAGAGTATCCTGGGGGCCAGGGGCTGTTGTGCAGAACACAAAGGCTTCCGCAGAGAGCCCACTTTAATTTCCAGAGCACTGCCACCCCTGCCGGTCAGTGATCTCTAGTTGACCTTCATTCTCGCTCTGGGTCTGGTCCTTTGTGTGTGTGTGGGGGGGGGGGGGGCGCCTGCATTTGGATTTCATTTCCTGTTGCTTAGACTCCACTCATCCGTTTCAGAGTGCTGTGGATTCTTTTTACTTAAGTTGTTTTATCTTTCTGTTTACCAAACTGTCTGTATTGGCTCCTTACTGTTTGTACTTTGCTTTACTAGTGTATTTTGTAACCAAAGAGTAAAGTTTACTTTGACCCCCAATGCCTGGGTGAAGTACTGCTTGTTTGTATAGTGTTTGGAGGGTAGGGATGGTTTTTTCCCCTCAGAGTTCTACTGGGGTTTCAGGTGGTGCCCACTAAACCAGAATCCCCCATGATATGTGCTCCTCTGTGGAAAAAAGGTGCCTTTGATGATGGTGGCTGAACGAGTAGACTTCTTCAAAGCTCCTAGGTAGTGATGTATTTGCATTATGATCAGAATTTCTTCGAGAGTTGCCCATTCTGCAGATTCCGTGTCAAGCCCTGGATTTAGCTCTGGTCCCCTTTCTGCCACCCTGCCCTTGCCTGGGTGACGGTGCTTTCTAGACACATTCCGTAAGGCCCTGTTAAATGCCAAACCAGGGGATTAATCGAATAGGGGAGGACTGATCAGAAACAAGTTCAACGAGATAAGTCCTTTTATGTTCCCATGTGGAAATCTAAACAAAGGGCCATGTTTTCATGATCTTAAAGTAGGGGTGGGACTGAAAACAGCAAACTCGTGGCTACCTGAGTGGGCAAAACCATTTCCAGAAAAGGGATTTGAAGACGTGGAAACCATCGGGAAGGGTCCATCAGGCAAAACCTTGCCTGTACAAACTATCCTAGGGGGTGAAGGATCAGTTTCTTCGGGTCATCAGCCCAATGACAGAAGCTGCAGAGAAGCGCCTCCTCCTCCTGGTCAGCACAGTGCAGGAATGTGCTTTAAGGCCTGGTTCCCACCCTCGGGGTGGAAGCTGACGTAAACACAGGCCCTACCTGGACAGGCTCCAAGCAGAGGGTGAATAGTTCACACAAGAGGGCCCGTGTGATTCCGGGAGCAGCCCAGGGCCCTCCACAGGCTTCCCCAGTCCCAGTTGGACACGGCAAGATTACGCCTAGAACAATCCCTCGAGTACACATACACGGAGGGAAGGAGAGGTTGAGAAGGGGAGTTTCTTCTTAGGGACACAAAAGCCTACGGGGTACTGCAGGGTGAAGAGGAGCTATGGCTGAGGAGAGCTGATGGGATGGACGCCATGCTAGGTGACTTGCACGACTGGTGACCAGCATGTTTGCAAACTTCGGGAACCGAGCAGAGTCAACCGGAAGTGGTCTCTGTAGCTAGGAAGATTAGTGTGGGCAACTGTCCCCTTGATGGATGAGCACGAAGATTTAAGCTTTTCCTTTTCCTTCTGAGTCCACATGATGAAACTGGGGTCTGACGAGTAAGGACATTTCCTGCTGGGCTCCAGATTGTACCAGCTTAGACTTCCCAAAAGCCCGGCTTGGTGCTGCAGGAAAATCATTGTTGTGCTTTGAAAGATCACTGGAAAGCATCGTGTTTCAGTTACTGGTACGAAGCAATGGTGTTGGGCCATCTGTATCCTCCAGATTGGGTACCTGGTGATGGAGATGCTTTTGCCCTGTATTTCTTCCCATCCACAGCACAGAGCTCCTGCCAAGCAGAGTGTCCATGGTCTGGGCAAGGAATGCAGGCAAGTGGCGGAAGCCACCCAGGGGGTCCTTTTCCTACAGCCCTCCGCTGGCCTATGCCGAAGCTACACTTAGAGCCCCTGCAGCAACACTGTGAATATGCTGGGTGAGGCTTTGCAGGAAATAAAAGTAGGAAATTGTAGAGAAAGCTATAAGTTCATGTTCAAGATTCCTTTATCATCCTAATTGCATGTCACATGTTGTCTTTTAAGCTTTGGCAACTGTGACTTATTCATAGGTATGAATTTTATGAAGATGTTATGAGGCTTATCATATGATCTACCTCTAGAAGCATGTTTTAAAAAACACCCTAAAGCAATCTCTTATTTTTCATTAGAGAAGTTTATGGATGTCTTTACCAATATAAACTTTAATCCCTTTGAAACAGCTTTGTAATCCCTGTGATAAAAGAAATCAAAAATCAATATTGGGAAACCTGTCTTGGGTATTTTTGACAAGTGTCTTTTTTCAGTTTTCCAGTCGCCTGAAGCACCAAGGCGTCTGTGGCCGGAGATGCGCAGGACTTTGTGGATGTGGTTGGAATGGGGTTGCCGAGGCCGGGATGAGAAAGGGTCCTCCAGATAGACAGTTTGGCCCAGGGGGCTTCGGACAAGGCTCTAGGAAGTCCTGGCTACAGCTGGAACAGGGCCAGGAGTGGAAGGAGGGGCAGCATCTGAGCAGCCTCTGGACCTCAATCCACGTCCCTCCAGAGGCACTGTGCCTGTGTTCCTTTCTGTTTGCTTGTTTGATGGTGCAGGAGATGGGGCCCTGGGCCTTGGCCATATTAAGGACATGCCGGACCACTGAGCTACATCTCCAGCTCTTATATCCCTTTCAAATCTGGACTTTGGAAACTCTAATTCACTGAAGTTCGAAACCATGAGCAAGTGCAGTTGCCCACACCCCATCCCTGCATCCTTACATTCGCCAGCTCTCAGCCCCGGCTCTTCCAGGAAGGCATTCACTGGGGGTCAGCTCAGGGTAGAAAGCCCCCCAACACACAGGAGGGGCTACGACTCCCTCGGAGCCTTCAGGACACTGGCGCTTTACAGAGGCACTTCCATTCAGTCCTCACACAGACCCATGGGGAGAGGTTTTCTGCATCTCCCCAGTCAGGAAACTGAGGCACAGTGAGGCACAGGCTCTGGCCCAGGTCACAGTTCAGTGTCAGGGCAAGAAGGGGAAACCGAGTTTGAGTTTGTACGACTCCCCATCCAGTGGGTGCCTAGGGGTAGAAGACCTCTCTGCAGTGGTCGAAGGAGCTGCCGGGTTTTGAACAATGTGTGTGGGGGTGATGCTGTGTTCTTCCTGTGGGGACACATTTTCAGTCCTCTTGCCGGGATAGGACCCAGGGGCTGGGGCGTGGACTCCGTTGCCAGGCTACACCCTTGGGCCTTGAGTTCATTTTAAATTCCATCCGTTCCTCTTCCCCACTAACAAAGACCTTGGGGGCTCTGTGTGTGGGTGTGGTTGTTATTGTTATTGTTGTCGTTCCTATCACATAGCCCTAGGGGAGGAGGAGGGTGCTGAGGAAAGGGTGGAATCCCATTTTGAGAAGGAATTTATTGCAGAGCATTGGGGCAGGCCGGTAAGCCCTGAGTGGATCTCGGTGTGGTTCAGTAATCTCCTTACAGTGCTGGGGACAGAAGACCTGCCTGTTGAAGTCCAGAGCCCCTGCTTCCCATACCCTCTCCCCCCCTCCCCGCCCCATCCCCAGTCCTCCAACCTCCCCAAGGCCTTGTGCTCCTTAGACTCCAGCTTTCTTTCCCCTTGGCCGCCTCCTGTTTTGTGCACTGACTTGGAGTGCTGGCCTGTTTGATGCCTTGGCTAAGCTATCCTCGCATCGCTTCTGTTTCTAACGTCAATCCACATAGGTGCTGCCTCTCCAAGACAGTTCTTCAGGGCCCTCCGTTTGCCCGGTGCTTCCCAAATTTGCAGTGTGACACTGCCCCTGGCCGGTCCCTTGCTGGCTGGGTTCCAGGGCTGGTGAAGTATGGACCAGGCCTCCCCTTTCTGTCTGGGATGCTTACAGATGTGTCTGCCACTTAAGATCCACTTCGATGTACTGGTGCTTTCAGAGACTGTTGTCAGCTTCTGAGGACCAAATCCTTGGGGAGCAGTGGGCCGGGTGCCCCTCCTCATTGGCCCTCATGGCTGGAATCATGGCGACCAATGGGATCTGGCCTGGGTGCTCTCACAGCTGGACTCCAGAGCACATCTTTATGCTACACAACCAAGCTCCAAAATGCTCCAAAACCCTAAAATGAGCATCAACAGGATACCACAGGAGGAAAATAAGCATACCTGAGTTCACGTGTCCTGTCCCAGTCAAACTATATGTTCATTAAAATTGCGTAAAATTACCCTCAGGTTAGGTGTATGTATAAAACATAAATTAATTTTCTGTTTGGTCTAGAGTTCCATTCTCAAGATACTTTATTATGTAGGTATAAATATTCAGAAATCTGAGAAGGAAAAATCCAGACACTGTGGTACCAAACATTTTTGATAAGGGGTAATAACTCTGTATTGACATTGCAATTAAAATGTTTAATCACATGAAGTGTAATTCTAACTTAGGTGCTCATGGTGCCACACTAACTTGCATTTTGCTTTGTGTAGAGTGACAAAAACAATTGTAAAATAAGGTTTTCCCCCCTCTTACAGAGTAGAATCCTTTTGTCCTTTGAAAATATATGGTTGTCAAGGAAATCAGAAATTCATGAGTTTAACTTTTGATGTTTGTCCTGGAGGTTAACAATCTTTGGCCTGTGAGCTGATTCAGCATTTGTGGAAGTTCTGCCCAGGGTCTTCTCTTGGGCTCGATAGTTGTAGAAATATTGAGGGTCAGGTGAAATTTCTGTATTTGTAAGCTTATTTAGAGGTGTCACATGCAGTGAGTGAAACATTAATATAAGGCACACTATAAAGAAGCTTTGTAC